GAAGAAGCTTCAAAGAGAAGGTTTAGAAGAAACTGAAAAAGCATCAGCATTAACTTTGAAGGAAATTTTTCATATACTTAATCATAAAGCAATGCAACTTGATGATAATAAAGGTTTGATGCAACAAGTGTTCTTTTGGCTATCACTTCTTTGTGGCCTTTGTGGTGATAATGCTGAAAGAATTGCTTTTAATAATATTTTCCGTTATAATGATGATAGACTTTATTTAATCTTTAATTATAAGAAAATAATCAACGCAAATATTAAAACGGAACAAATATGGAAAAAATTTAGTATAAAAAATACCTATTTCTCTTAATCAAGCCAATAACTGTTTTAAACCTATTAGTAATATTTTATATATAATTTCTTTATGTCCTAATTATGTTTGTGCTTCCTTGTTTTTGAAACTATATGGGTGAAAAAGGATTAATGTTTTTTTTTTATTTGTTCATTTACTAATATCAATTTTAACTTATAAATTTTTATTAGATAAAAAAAAAGGTGTTTAGTATAAATCTAGTATATGGGATCTAATAAATTAAACACAATGATGGCAAAAATTGCAAGTCTTATAGGTATTAGCCTTGATAATAGGTATAAAATATCTAATCATTCTTTATATGAATAGCAATCCAATAGCTCAAAGATCTCAATGTTCCAGAAGATAAATGTATGGAATTTTTTAAATATTGCAGTCATGAAAGAATCCATGTTTATAATAATCTTAAAGATGATCAAAAGCTTTATAATACTTCAATGCTAATTCCCTTGGATATTAATGATATTCCTTATGAAGAATTTGATTATTTTCTCAAAAGGAATTATCTGGATTATGAGAAAGATGAATATGATGAAGATATGTATTTTTTTTATATTTCTTTCTAAAAAAAATTTTTTTTGATTTTTGATTTTTAATTAGGGACATACCATTTATTACATAATTTTTACATAGATATATGGTCTAGCTAAATACTAGTTGAGTGATCACATTACATATATATATAATATATAATATATAATCAAATATACAAATATATAATATATAAATTATATATATTATAATAAATCTTTAATATTAAATAACTTTTGATTTACTGGTCTGATTTGGATGATTTAACTGTTAAAATGTTTGTCTTGATAAGACAATTCTAATGGATCTAAAATCATTAAATTCTAATTACAGAATCCTGAAATCGTTAAGGTTTTGTACTATTTTATATATAGTAAAACTAATTTTATTATATATAAGCTTATACAAATAATCTTAACGATCTCAGGATTCTGTGATTAGATTTTAATGATTTTGAATTTATTAAAATTGTCTCATCAAGATGAACATTTTGACAGTTAAATCATTCAAAACAGACTGATAGATCAATGTTATTCAATTTTAAAAAAAATTAAAAAAAATTTTAATAATTAATTAAACAGACCAATCAGAATCAAGCTAGAGATGATCACACTATATATGGATAGGGGTGGCTACTAAGTAGAAAATTTTATATAATAAATGGCACACCCCTTACAAGAAATATCATATGAATTATCATACAAACCATTGCATAAACTATCAGACAAACCAACACACAAACCAATATACAAACTAACTATATATACTGTCGAAATTATTTTAGATTTTGTGATACAAAATTAAAATTTGAAGACAAAATTGTTTTTGATCTATTTTGCTTAAAAGATGAAATTTTTTGATACTTTTTT